CTTGACATCAAAAGGGGCTTCGTGCAGCATGTAAGACAGTTTTTGTGGAATAGCAGCATTTAGTTCACAAAGCAAGGAATTCCTTTAAGCTTTGTAATCAAGGAAGGCGAGGTTCGGTGACGACACATGGCAAATGCAGGGTGTCACTGGAATGTGCATAACAACATGTCAAAGTGCGTCAATCAACAGACGTGACAGGTGATGGAGAAAGCAACGAAGGCCAAAGGATGACGGTTTTCTCCTTCAAGAGCACACTGAGTCACACTCAGATTATCGCCACCAGACTCTGCCAGCACGTATTTACTGCTTAGACGGTCTCTATCTATTTAGCATGTGTCAGGCACTGCCGACCAGAGCCAAGACGACCAAAGCGTCGGCTGTTGCGGCATGAAGGTCGTCTGCGGGCTTACTCCACACCCCGGCAGCGCTGGCACGGTGCCTCAGCCAGATGGAAACATGTGGCAAAATTAGAGCGCTACCAGACAGTAGATGTATCTATGACACCCACTGTGCCGCATCCCATGCCCCAATTATGAGTCAACAAAAGAATCACTCCTGCAGCAGCAGAGTCAGGCATCAGACATTTGTCTCGCTGAAACCGGAGATGAAGGGATCGTCTCACAGACTGTTGAAAAGTATCAACACACTAATAGCCACCGTAGTCTGTAAACACTAAATGAAATTAAATGATAGAAATCACTGAATATCTAGACTTTGAAAAACGGAATTTTGGTTGGGTCGGTTTTATCTTTCGAAAATCCGACCCTCTAATTAATATGATCAGATATGTGGATTGGACCTGTGTATCACCAGTATAAATGGGGTAAATCATAAGACAAAGACCAAGTAAATGTACAGAAATGTATCACCATGTTGTACATGGCTGAATGATTTATTATTTAGTTTGAGTCTTAAATTGGTGTGATTATCCTAAACAGCTAACTACTGGAGATGAGTAGATACAACAATTGTATATTATTTTATAAACATAATATTTAAATATATATTTTTAGGAAGACGTTTTTTTCAACAGTATGAATATGGTGTTTTATTAACATCAGTAGGATTAGTGCAATAAGCACGTTGCATATTTTGAGATAACTCTTGAGATTTATCTGCCTTCCATGGCTTGTAGACACTGAGCATGATCTACATATTTAAATTACAGATGGTTTGGTTAGCAGTGACGTGCTTTTAGGAGGAAACAGTTAAAATGATTTGATGTATTGGTTTTGATGGAACAGGACTCATTTTTCAAGGGTGATTTCCTGGGAGCGAGTCCATTGCTTCATGTCTTGACATCATGCAACTTACATGACATTTAAATTTATTCGTTTGGCAGACATTTTTATCGGAAGCGACTTACAACTGAGCACAGCACTAAAGCTCCAGTGCAGTCGGGGACCTTGGAGTAAGTGTGTGTTAAATCTGTTCGATAAAAGAAGAATAAAAGAAGTGCACCAAAAGTAGGGATGGTGAGTGTTAGGCATGTTAGGATGTTAGAGGTGACAGGAGAGGAGGTGCTCTGGGAAGAGGTGAGAACCTTGAACCGTTTGAGGTTCTCGAAGGTAGAGAGGGACACCCCTTAACAGCTCGTTCCACCCTCAAGGAACCACAAACGAAAGCAGTCTGGACTAAGCTGGCCGACATTCTTTGGAGGAAAGGACTCGCCGAAGTCTATTCAAATAGATGGTTGCAAACCCATAAGTCGCTCCGTGGGCAATCATAAAGTACTTGAATTAAATTCTGGTGACCACAGGTGGCCAGTGGAGGTCAATGAAAAGTGGAGTGACATGTACCCTTTCAGGCTGATCCAAGACCAGACGTGCTTCTGCATTCTGGAGCATCTGTAACAGTGTCCCTGTGCTTCTTAAAAGAAGGGCATGACAGCAGATGTTGCTTTTGTTGATGGAGTTATTAATTCTCCGGGATGATAAAGAGTTCAGACTTAGAGAGGTGTAGTTAATGGTGTTATCCCTTTAACTAGTGTAGATATACAAACTGTGTGCCAAGACTGTGGCGTCATCTGGCGGGAGATACAGTTGAGTGTCGTCTGCATAGCATTAATGTGAGAAGCTATAAAAGCAGACAATTGGACTCTTAACATAGAGCTGCTGGCATACTCTGTGTCTTCAGGACTCTCCTTATTGCAGGGGATGTGATGTAAGAGGTGAAAGTGATGATTTACAGACCAAGGTCGTGAACAGTCAGGAAACTACATTTACTCAACTGCTGGGAATTTGTCGTCATCTCGAGTTTGCACGGTGTCCATTTATTGATAAATTTAAAAATAAAAACTAAGATTAGTCTTCCTGTTTGCTGCTGACTGTTCAAGTATTGTATGAATCATCTGGCTATCTGTGTTTTCTTTTATGAAAAGAGCACCATAGAGAAATGTATTTCAGTTGCTCTTGCATGTTCTGCACTGAATCTGATCATGAAAAGAGCACTGATCGTAAGAGAGCTTTTATATCTCCCTGCTAACAGCAGTCTGTGCAGCACATTTTTTTATCACCAATTCAGTGAATGTAATTATCAGTGGAGTTGTCATGGAAGCACTCCCGGGCATAGATCATCTGTCCTTGAAAATAGGCTGTTTGGGCTCTGTCTGTTCGGAGATTTCAGCAAGTATACAGATTAGAACAGGGCTCTTCGGGGGGTATTTTAAATGCAGAAATAAAGTTTATTTTCATGAATATCATCAAATTTTATTCAAATTTTTTGGTCGGGGAAAGAAATCAAATCCAATATAGATTATTCACTAAAATAGATACATATTTAAATACTTAAAAGTGTCATACAATAGGATAGTTTGGAGTCCAGGTGTCATTTCTCTACCCCTGGCTAATGCGCAGTAGCCTGTACTGTGCCCTGGCCCATACGATTTGGCAGCGGGCCCCAGCTGTGGGTCTGGCCTTGTCTCTCCTGCTCTGTTGCCCATCTACCATGCTCCACTGGTATGGCAGGTCATGCATGCTCATAAAGACGGAAGCACAAGTGGAAATGAGCCTGTGCTAGAGCGATGAGAGAATGACACCTTTCTCTGAGTGTTAACAGGCACTGTGATCATGACACTGGATCAAATTTCAGAAGCTTGTGTTTGAAGCAAAAGGGAAATACTAAATTGGCTTTAGACTCATATAGTGCTAGTTTCTCTAGTCAGGTTTACTGAGTGCGTGCATCAAACCCAGATTATGAAGTCTTAACACTTTCTACACCAAATCCCCAACTTCTGTATATTTGTGGCTCTTTCACAGCAGCCCTTGTTGTTGTGACTTTCTCTGACAGATATGTCCAGTGTGAATTGGTCACATTTAGCTCTCACAGGCTCTCATCGGAGAAGCCCATAAAAGGAAAAAAAAAAATATGACAAATAATATTTGTCTGCTGAGAAGTGGCTGATCCAAACAATTTTATTGCATCTATCCCACATCTCTAAAGTAGGCCCCTCGTGAGACAGTACAGTGGAAAATGTGCATCGTTACAAACTCGCTTTAACCGAAATAAGTCTGCGTCCTTTGTTTCTGTATTTGGTCTGGGGAGTTGATCAAACTAAAGTGTTTATTACCCCAGAGTCCATTCAATCACTCTTTCATTCCCTTATCAGTCTGTTTATCTGACGTTTATATTTGTTTTCTGACTCCATCCATCCACTTAATGCAACATTTTATTATCTACATTCATGCAGCAGACTCTTTGGAAGGCAGCCTATTCTGCACAACAAAAGCCAAACACACAAGTCAACCTCTCACCGGGAAGTCTGGTACAGAGAATTTGCATTTGTATGCGAAAATGTGCATTTGTGTTATCATTGTGTGCCTCTGTTAAAAGTTGATGGATAATCATTTAATAGAGAAAGCGACACAAAAACAGCATTTTCCTCTTTTTAACTGCAACAAATTATATTATGGGAAGCAGTGTATCATCAAAACCAAACACTGCGAGCATGGTCACTGAATGAATGAAATTATTATGGGGTGTGTTGAAGCAGGACTCTGTGTATGAAAAAAAGATTCGGGTAGAGTAACAGCCGGCTAAGGGAAACAAATTAAACTGGCGGGTGGCAGGTAGAGAAAGCTCCAGAGGAGAAAGCAGAGGTAGTGACGTCACAGTCAAACAACTTGTGACATTTCTGACTAGAGCTGTTGATGAGATAGCACAAAGAATTACCCTTGTGTGCCAAAACAGGTTCTCTTTTCCCCATTTCATGCCTCCTCACAAGCACCAATTTATAAAAAGAACAACCGAGTGGAGAAATTAGACTTTTCAAAAGAGTTTTGGGAAGTTTAAAGTCACTGGCTACTGAAGGGTTGAATGTTTTCTCTAGAAAGCCAACAGCTAGAGAGAAGAGAAGACTTAAGCTTGATGCTGAAATTAAAAATTTTGAATCACAGTGTAAAACTCTCAATCATAGACTTTTTAATCAAATATATAAAAAAATTTCTACTTCTTATTTATGGAATTTGTGTGGATCGTGTTTTCTATTTTCATCCCTCTAAATAACAAATAAGTTACTTTCTGACAGTGTCATGCCTTCGCCAACCAGTGAAGTCACACCAATGTCTGTCCAGATTCATACACTAATGTGTAGTCAAGAACTGGAAAAGAGTTGAATCAAAGGTCACTGTCAAGTGGATGTTGTAATAATGAATGTATGCTTGAGTTATGGCTGATATCAGGCTTCCCGTCACAGTGACCTTGACCAAAAAAACTATGTATGTTTATCCTGACGTCAAAGTGAATGATTGTACTACATTATAAGAAATTCCTTACAGGCAATATTGAGATATCGTGCTCGTAACATGAGACCATTGTGCATCCAGCTTCTTCTTTTGCCAAATCTGGGTTAGTATCCAGTTTTTAAGTCTCTGTCTGAAATTGTTGTAATTTCCACTCCATTTTTCACACTTTAGCACAAAGCACCAACTCTGAAGCACTTGAAATTATAATACTTGAATGTTATGAATGTTAGGTGACCGAATAAAAATGAATGGACTTACCGAGTCTGTTGTCCAACGCTCCAAAGTCCAGAGAGTACTTCACCACATGGTAGTTGTTCCAAACATACAGCAGGTTGTCTCTGGGATTATAATCCACTGCAGCAATGTACTGATAGGAGTTGGGGAAAGGGATGTCCAGAAACCCATCTTTACTTAGTTCTGTGTTGTAGATGTAGTCAATCTTGTTTCCTGTTGCTTCATTGTCATCATCCTCGTACACCGTCTTTACCACATACAGGATTCCACAAATCATGAAGGCGTTGGACGCTGAGCGTTTGTCGTAAGCCGTGTCCCAGGTCCCCTCGACACGCAGCGTGTATGGATTGAGCTGGCTGATGACGATCCGCCCATTGTTCTGCTCAGTGGCATAGATCACCCAAAGGCCGTTTTCATCAACGGCCAAGTCGATGTCTGACTTCCCTCCCCAGCGGTATGGAGATGTGTCATGGTAGTTGGCGTTAGCGATAATGGCCTCGCCGCTCTTGATACGAGTCCGCAGGTCAAACTTGACAATATTGCGTGTGCGCTCCTTGTTGAAAAAGAGTGCCCCGTCGTACACCACAAAGCCTGTTCCGTCGACGCGATGTGGGAGTTTGTAGGTTGTTGTCGGCCTTCCTGCGATGAAGTCCTCTTTGGAAGAATATTCAGTCAATGTGTCTGTGCGATAGGGTGTCCATGGCATGTAGTAGATCTTATCAGAGGCTTGGAGAGGGTCCTTGCACCAGGCGCCGGACTGGTGGTCCGATTCGAAGAGGTGCTCGCTCTGGTACACCCTGCGCAGAAGCCCTGGGCACAGGAATACTGAGGAGCCAAAATAGGGGAAAAACAAGTACAGAGTTACATTGGCAGGTATTATATATCAAAAGATAAGAAACCGCAACTTAATGAAACAGAAATAATGTTAAAATCTGCAGCTCAGTCTCCTCCGATGTCAAGTCATATCCTCAGACCCTGGGCTGAGAAATGCCAAAGAGATCACTAATTGTCAAAACAAGAAAAATGAAAGACACAAAAGAAACTAGAAAGATGAATTATTTTGGATTACCTTGGCTTTACAATGCATGAAACTACTAATATACAAACACAAGCACAATTGTCATAATTCCAAGCTGTGACTCAAACAGTTAGCCTCTGATTCTTAAAGCATTTAGCTACAATGCAATTGAAGGAACAAGTAATGAATATAATGAATAGATTAAGTGGGGGTTAATTACATCTTACTTCATATAAGGCAAAGACCAATCAGTGAATGTTGCCATGGAATGTCTTACATATACATTAAAAATCCATGTTGTCATTATCTTCAGTTTTTTTCCTTTTATAGTATCGCGCCTCTATACAGACCTACTAAATAATATATAATTGCACCATAAAAATGATTCATTCATTACTTTCATTAAAACACCCAAGTGGCAGTTCTTAATAATTAGTATTAATCACAAAAACCCAAAGACATGGCTCTACTTTAATAATTGGCAGAGGCAGCCCTGAGGACAAAGACAAAGAAAACAAAAAGAAAGAAATGCAGTAATTACATCATCCATATAATGACTGCATGTCCATTATTTCATCCACATGACATTTTTAGTCTGCTTGATTTACAACACCACACACGGTAAACTAATTATATGTGAACTGGTTTGTACTCAAATCTGATCAAGCTAGACCAAGGCAATACAGCTGGAGCAGGTCAATAGTGCTCTACGCTTACGAAAGCTAATTTCTGCTCATTACGAGCTTTCTGAGTCTGAGGCAATTGAAAATTTCTGTCTTTCTTACCAGATGATATCTACATTCGTAGAAGACTAAACATTTCATTTAAACTTTAAATTGAATTACACAAAGATACCTTTAAAACAACAACAACAAAAATGGCCAAAGTAAAAGTCTGATGGACAAGAACAATATATAATTTCGACAGTGCAGTTTTCCAATTTCCACAGGTTTGGGCCCAGAATGCATCACAAAAGAAAACGAAGTGCATGTGAAGGCTGCTTTCGCTGTAATGGCCCACGAGCCTGACACAGCGCTGACAGGTTCTTGCCGCAGATGCGTCGAGAGGTAAAAGCTGAGCGCTCCGAGGAGAAGGAGAAGAAAGAGACAGTGAAAACAGAGGCTTCCTTCCCTTGTAATCTCTTAAGATTAAACATGTTGTCTACCTGCGGGTGAAAAATGTGCCAAGATGCGTCCCGTTGACATAACGCCTCGGCACACATCTCAGCAGTTGCATCGCTAAATGCTAAAAGGGGCTGTTTTTCCATTTCTACGGTTGAAAGTACAAGGTCGGAGTGGGTAAACTTTGTACTTGCAGCACACAGAACACTGAGGAGGTTGTAGAATATGCTTTTGAAGGTTGCGAACACAGAGATGGAGGAGTGAATGAGTGATATTAGAAAAGTGGCACAAAAGCAAGTCATGGCTTTCATGGGGAATCAACAGAAACTGTTACCGCTGCAGCAGATGTACTCATCTCTACAAAATGTTTTTAACACCTCCTTCACCTTCATTTCTCATTCTCGTCGCCACAGATTTCAGTGATATGTCATTAATTAACGACGACTATGAAATTTGAAATTTATTGCATGGCTATTAAAACCGAACTCTTGACTCTTATTTAATGATTCCATTTACATCTCTGACTTCAATCCAGCGTTGTGTTTAATGTCTGACACAGGACATATTTCCCAGTCGTGCAAAAAGGTGTGACGACAAACACGGTGCTCCTGGGGCACAAGTGAGGATTTAGCGCGTGTCCCGCAGCATCGTGCAGTGCTGATAAGGTAAAAAAAATACGCCTGCTATGATCCACCTCCAGTATTGACTGGTGAGTCCCTGAAGGTTATGGCCATCATCATGTTTGAGCTATAATCAAAAATGCTGACAGCTTATTGGACAAGCTATTGATCACCAACTATAGCCCTCTCCTTTAATATTATGCAGCTGATAAAGCAGAGCTGGAATCTTCAGTTTTTACACGGAGGAAAAACATTGAGATTTCAGTGGGGAGCAGGTCTTTAATGACCTCGCAATAAAGAATGATTATATATGTGGCGACGTCACAAGACCTTCGAGGTGTGACGGTGCTGAAGAACAAGGATTGAAGATGAGAACTTTCTGTTCTTGATTGACACGACTAAATTAAGAAAGAATTATGTCGTTAGGTAACAATTTCATTTTCCCCATGAATGGCATGCGTCACCACACCGATGAACCATACAATGAGAACGAACCTAGAAACCTGCTTTAGCGACCCGTCACCAAAATAAAAAATAAAGCAAGCGTATAACGAAATGAATATGCAGGTGGAAAAATGGAAAGTTGTTGGCATTTAGTTACCTTTTTGTTCCACTTCTATTTTTAGGCATGAAAGGGAGAGAGAAAGACAGAAAAAAATAAAGAACAGATTAATGATGTCATAACTGTCTTTATTTTACAACAGTCACACAAAAGTACAACGGGAGGTTAGTGGAAGAGACACATTATATCATACTGAAAGCTTTTGGAGAGGAGAACAAAAATACTGCATCACACAAAACCCTGGAGGAAAAAAAGACAGATTAATCAGGTCTTAAACTGTAAAACATGTTGTGAGATGTGAACGTGTAAAACAGATGTAACAGCAGGTGATATTTTTCTACAGCCATAAAAACATTCAGTCGAGCAGCGAGCTTTTGAGTTGAACTGGGAGGAAAAATGCAAATTAGATAGATTTCACTTTGCTCAGTTGAATAATCTCAAACTGAAAATCTAATTTTATCACTTATGACCTTAAAAGACTGATAAAATAGCAGTGCATACCTAATGTATTAGCAAACAATATCTACACATATGCTAAGCAACAAAAATATATATTTAAAGTCGTGCCAACCTGGAAACTATGAGTACACTGTTAAGTTTGCTTTATTTTGTTTTCAACCAACCCCTGGTCTGACCCCTTAGCAAATCAATACTACATTTAAGAGCTAGCCACTATCTTTGTGTGTCTGGTACTGTGGGTTTTGAAGAACCTTTGCAATAAACATCTCCCTGCCGCTGAAGTTACTGACAAAAGCAGTGAGATCAGAAAAAAACATTGAAAATGTGAGACATTAAAACTAAAACAACAAGCTGAAAGACACCCAAACACACCAGAGACCGAGAAGATGTGCCGAGTCAGGTTGCTTATTCTTAACAAGAAGTTGCCTTCACATTTTCAGTCATTTGATCAATTATTAATATCACAATTATCAATTATTCCAGATTTAGTTGTCAGTTTGCACTGGTAAATATAGTATTAACTTGCAGGAAAATTGCATTCTTCAAAGTAAGTTTTATTTTTTTCTAAATAGAAGTAACTTAATGTTTAAGTGAGATGTAAAAGGTATTTTTGCTGTACAACAAGTAGTACCTTAGAGGCTGAACTACTGAGGCCGTTACATCTTAACTCAAAATAAATAACTTCCTCTGTGGACAAGCTTTTTATGTCAGTCACGCCATTTCTGTGGTCTCTTCTATTTGTAGCAGGGGTTGGATTCCACACAGCGAGCCCGCTCCTGTCCCTTCCCCTCCAGTAATCCTGGTTCTAATAAGAGAGGATTAACCTCTGTTACCAGGGCTTACAAGAGTCCTCTCCTCCAAATGGAGAGTGCAACAGAGTGAGCTACGGAGGTCAGTGTGTAGGTGCAGGTGGGGGTAAAGTTTGAAAGATGGGAAAGTTATTAGAGGTGAGCAATATAAATGCAAGGCATTGAGCAAATGCAAAACGGAGCAATAGGCGGAGCCGGGGTGAAAGAGCAGGAGAGAGGAATAACCGGGAGAAGCTTTCAACTGTGTTTGTCAGATCATAAAATTGTGCACAGGTACAGCACGGTACCTAATCAACTTTAAAAAAAACTGTTGTTGAAATAGTCCATACTAAGCTCAAGCAACAACAGCTCTAGGCTACATCTGACCCATTACTGGTGACTCAAATTTGACAATAGCTCGTAACCTAACATGGACCCCATAGATCAAATCAAAGTAAACAGCCAAACATCTCAGATCGAAGTCTGTTCACCTCCCATGAGCGACGGCCAAACAACTGGGACCACGGTGGGGGCTGGCATTTCTGATTGAGCGATCGCTAACAGTGGTGAGGAGAGAGGAGGGTAATGATCTAGAGAGAAAGGCATTAGTGGCAGGGATGTGAGAAGTGGTACACGACGCAATTGCCTGGGGGGGAGATGGTGTGAGAAGGGAGTAAAAGGATGTGGATGAAATCTGTGACGAGAAAACGCGCCCGGCTCCCGGGGCAACAGCTTTTAGCTTGACCAGAGGACGCCGCTGAATGCAGCAAGGTCACCCGTCAAATCGCTCAAACCAATTTGTTCACGTTAAGTCCGCGAGTGTTTCACTACATATAGTGTATTGCACGGGCTGAGATGCAGCTATCTCACTCTGTCACTGATACAAGAGGAGGAGCGGGGGAGAAGCAGAGTGAGATGGAGAATTGATTCATTTGAAAGGCTTCTTTACTCCACCCACCAACCCCCATTGTGACCTTAATACAATTTTGCTCACGGCTGTCAGTGAGTAACTAAAAAGCACTTAGCTCTCTCATCCCTCCCTCCTTTCTCATTGTCCACCTGTCTCATGTTAAAAATATGCAGATAAATACAAATTTAAAAACACTGAGCTACTTTCAGGTTTGTGAAAGGGTTACATGCTATTCAATCAAACAGAAAACACATTTAAGTATTCATTTATGATTCAAACGTCTGTACTATTGCCACAAAACACTTGAACACAACTATTTAAGGACACACAAAGAGCATCTAATGGACAATTCAGCCTCTCAATGTCCCTTCTGTTTAACATTATCTATTTCTATAATGGCTCTGAGCACAAGCAGTGTTTTACCTATGGTAGAGATCAATTGAAGGTATACATAATGCTCTACTGCATTGTGTAATGGTGATTTTACCGCTAAACATACCACTCGCCAACATGCTGTGCTTCAATGAAATTAACTTGAAAACACTTGAGGGATGAGCTAATTATTTGAATGAGCGATCATTATCACTGACTGCCCATCAAATTATTCAAAAGCAGACATGGGGTAAAGAGAGTTAGGAAGAAATACGCAAATTTCATGATGGGTTTTGGGGGCCGCACACCAAGCTGGAGTTAACAGGTGGGCTCTTCATTTTTTTTCAGCCTCTTCAGGGACTGGTGCGGCTTCCAGTTCTAATTTGACAATTATCTTGATGGATGATCAGAGAAATCTGTCACCTGACATACGAAGATTCATCATTCTGCTTTTGCAATGACAGTTGGTACCTCGTGATGACTTGAGAAGGTCTGGCACATTTTCCGAGAGGAAAAAGATTACCAGCTGGAAGCATCATTCCTCGGATGCCAAAACAAACCAGGAGGAAATGCCATCACTGGCAAAAACAAATCCCCTTGAAATTTACACATCTCCTGGACTTGCCAATCGACAAAAGTCTGTTATTGTGCATTAATTATCTGGTATGGATTCACCAAGGAGGATGGAAGCTGGCACACCTGGAAGCAGCCCAGTACAAGCAGACTTATCTTTTGGCTGCTGAGAAGCTGCACTAAAGCAGTTTGGGGTTAAGTGCCTTGCTCCAAGGCATCTGAAGTGCTGCTCATTCACTTCCAGCAAGCCGTTTATATAGGGACTGGTTCAAGGACAAAAAAAACAAAAAAAAACAGCTGTCCATACTAAAACTGGGAACATTATTTTTATTATCAATCTGTCAGATGAGTGTTTTCCTTTGCAAGTGTCCGACCAGGTCATAGATGGTGAGTAAATACGCGAGTAGCCAGGTTTGAGCTAATTCTGGCAACAGGTTTGGGCAAAACAATAACTCACTGATGTGTGTGCATGCAGCTTGTATCACTTTGGCTGGTCTGTGGTTTGCCCTGCCAAGCACATAAAGGCAACATGGCTGATTCTGCAGCTTGTCTAATTGGTCAAGCTGTTGTTGCAAATTGAATAAGCTGAAAAAGCAACCCGCATATATGGCATTGTCTTTAAAATACTACTTTTTTAATGGTTATTAAAGGAGTGGAGCAGCTGTTCGTTACTATGAAAAACTTACAGTAAATGCAAAAACAAAGGTCATTCACATTTGATGGTTTCCAGATAACATGAGCAAAAAAGTGCTGAAGTATGTATGTATGTAGAATCTGTAGCGGCGGGAAAATATTTTGAGGTTGGAATCTTTCCGGATTCCGTTTGAGTTTGACCAATCACATTTGATCGAAAACAGTGTGGAGAGCAAAAGAGGAAGATAAACCGAAATGCATCTGCTATCAGCTTTTTAATTTGTTTGCATTGATATGCAGAAAACTGTTAATGGAGATTAGCCAAAATGTTGTCTGGACCTAAAACACTGTTTGTGTTTTGTCTCGAGTGACATAAGATGCGAGTCGTACAGTAAACTGTGTATATCGCGAACGGAAGATGGAGTCTTGACTCGGATATCCGCTGTTTCCACTGGCCCCAAAATATTGGCCTATATAACTACTAGACAGGTTACAACCAAACTTGGTGGAAGGATGCACTGTGGGTCATGAGGATCTGGATCAGGAAGTGGCTCCATGAAATTGTATTTTCACTTTCTTTAACAATGTGAGATTTCTCAGAGATACATTTATGGATTTTGATGAAAAAAATAATAAAGCATGTTCAGGGGACTGCTGAGTGTGTGCAGTTTGGTGCAGCTCCAAATGAAAACTGGATGTAGTGAATTAAAACATGGTTTCAGAAGGGGACTGCTGGGCCTTGCTCTACTAAGTGACATTCTAGTTATTTTATAAAATTATATTGCCAATGTGCAATGCATCGTGTATTCCTTCAGATACTGCATGAGTTAAATATAAATTCCACCTGAGATGTCACCCTGCATACTTATTCTGGTGTAGTTGCTACTTAAGACGCATGCAGCGCAGCTAACGACAGGGACCTTTAGCTGCTGGGAGAAGCAGCCCTGTCATGTGAGCGGCAGCTGTATGGATTTTCATTTGAATAATTAATGCTTCCCAATTTCACACTAATGGTCGAGAGGTATCAGAATGGTATCATTAGCCACTAATAGAGATTCATGGCGGAATGGCTGCAATATCTTTTGCAATATTTTTCTCCCCCCCCCCTTTCTTCCATTCCGTCTCCCTCTTTCTCCCTCTCAGCCGAGGAGTTGCAGAGTGCAAACCCCTTAACTCCATCCCATCAGCTTTTTAATTAATGACACAAATTACGGGGCTTTGAATAGCATGTGCCTAAGGATGGGGGAGGACGAGCAGGCCACCATCTCTCTTTCTACGAATTCTCTCTTTGGCTCCTTCATTTTTTCCCCTCCTATCAT